GAGATGTTCCAAAGAAGGTGAAGAGGAAGACACACAGGAATATAGTATCATTAAGGATACCAGAGTATGTACTCCAGTGTGAAAGAGGAGGATGGACCAGAGAGCCTTTAAAACTTCATTATACTGAGAATCGGGGGCGTCTGGGTGGCTCAGTCAGTTAAGCATCTGCCTTCGGCTCAGGTCCTGATCCCAGGGTGCTGGGATCGAGTCCCATATCAAGCTCCCTGCTTAGCGAGGAGCCTACTTCTCCCTCTGCCTGCCGGTCCCCCTGGTGGTGCAATCTCTCTCTGACAAATAAATAAATAAAATCATAAAAACAACAAAAAAACTTCTTTATACTGAGATTTATTTATTTATTTTTTAGAGAGAGAGAGAGTGACAGCAGGGGAAGAGGGGAAGAAGGGAAGCAGATTCCCCAATGCGCATGAAGCCCAACATGGAGTTTGATCTCACGACCCTGAGATCTGGACCTGTGCTGAAATCAACAGTCAGAAACTTAACTGACTGAGCCACCCAGGCGCCCCTGGGAATCTATAATCTTAAGACTGCCCTGGCGGCTCTCACAAACTGAGGCTCTACAGAGAAAATGGCAGTTTCTTTCAATATTCTGATTGCTCTACATCTGCAGTCTCATTCACAGACCAATGAGAAACATGATTACAGATACAGGAGAAATACCTAAAGCACTGAATTAGGAGCCAGGAGACTTGGATTTTAGTCTTTATATACTGTTAACTGTGTGTTACCCTGGATCAAAACCGTAGGCTCTGTAAAACTTAGATTCTTTATCTATAAAATGAGGGAGTTGTACTAGAAGTATTTCTAGGTCCACAAGTTTTCAATCTCTAAGCTGAGGTACACTAATATCTTCTCTATTAAATGTCACTGAATTTATAATAAAAAATTAAGGTGTTAATGTCCACATTTCTAAAAATAACAGTTAAGTAATAATTGAATGATTCCTGATTCCATCTATTTAAAAATCGCAAAATAAAAAGGTTACTTTATCTTTAATCTTTTAAAATCTTTAATGTGATTTTAATTTATTTTTATTTTTAAATTTCCTTTATTTTATTAGTATTTTTAAAGATTTTATTTCTTTATTTGACAGAGAGAGAGCACAAGTAGGCAGAGTGGCAGGCAGAGGGAGAGGGAGAAGCAGGCCCCCAGCTGAGCAGGGATCCTGATGCCGGGCTCGATCCCAGGACGCCGGGATCATGACCTGAGCCGAAGGCAGACGCTTAATGACTGAGCCACCCAGGCACCCCGTATGTATATTTTAAAAAGCCTTTACTGGGCGCCTGGGTGGCTCAGATGGTTAAGCGTCTGCCTTCGGCTCAGGTCATGATCTCAGGGTCCTGGGATCGAGTCCCGCATCGGGCTCCCTGCTCCTTGGGAGCCTGCTTCTCCCTCTGCCTCTCTCTCTGTCTCTCATGAATAAATAAATAAAATTTAAAAAAAAATAAAATAAAATAAAAAGCCTTTACTTATTTCAAATCTGTTTTGCATCAAAGTAGAAGCCTGCTCTCCAGCTGGTGTTCATCATTATCAAGCAGGCAGTAACATTAATGGCAACTGCGCATAAAGAGAACAATAAGACACTTAGTATCAGAGCCCTCAAGGTACTCCCAATACAAGTGCGACAGATCAGAGACAGCTGTGAACACGTGTTCATGCAATGAAGTTCGGCACCCATGTTCCTTTAGGAATTAAAATAAAAAGCTTGAGGGACCTTTCAGCGGAGAGTTCTAACTGCCGTGGCCTGCTGTTGCTGGGAGGCAACTATAGTACTGCCAGAAAAAAGACCAGACTGAAAACATGTGATTCCAGGCTCAGCCCTGCTACTTACCAGCTGTGTGACCTTCAGAAAGTCCAATTCTCTACATGATCACTATCTCAGTGACAGAAGATTAATAAGGATTAAAAGAAATAATGAATGGGAAAACACTATGCAAATTGTAGGTGTTGCTTCAGTTTACATGTACACAGTTGAATCTTGAATAACATGGCTTTTGGGGCGCCTGGTTGGCTCAGTTGGTTGAGCATCTGACTCTTGGTTTGGGTTTGGGTTTAGGTCATGATCTCATGGGTCAGAGGATCGAGCCCTGTGTCGGGCTCCACACTCAGTGGGGAGTCTGCCTGAAAGATTCTCTCCCTCTGCTTCATGCACACTCTTTCTCTCTCACAAATAAATCTTAAAACAACAACAACATGGGTTTCAATCAAAAGAATCCACTTACACGTGGATTTTTACAGCACTGTACTGTAAATGTATTTTCTCTTCTTTATGATTTTATTTTTATTATTTTTAAAAGATTTTATGTATTTATTTGTCAGAGAGAGAGAACAAGCAGGCAGAGCAGCAGGCAGTGGGAGAAGCAGGCTCCCTGCTGAGCAAGGAGCCCGATGTAGGGCTCGATACCAGGACCCTAGGATCATGACGTGAGCTGAAGGCAGACGCTTAACCAACTATGCCACCCAGGCATCCCGATTTTATTTTTTTTATTTTTTATTTTTTTTAAAGATTTTATTTATTTATTTGAGAGAGAGAGAATAAGAGAGAGCACATGAGAGGGGGGAGGGTCAGAGGGAGAAGCAGACTCCCTGCCGAGCAGGGAGCCCGATGAGGGACTCCATCCCGGGACTCCAGGATCATGACCTGAGCCAAAGGCAGTCGCTTAACCAACTGAGCCACCCAGGCGCCCCCGATTTTATTTTTTAAAAAGATTTTTATTTATTTTTTTTATTTTTATTTTTTTTAATTTTTTATTTTTTTAAAGATTTTATTTATTTATTTGAGAGAGAGAGTGAGAGAGAGAAAGAGCACAAGAGGGGATAGCGGGAGAGGGAGAAGCAGACTCCCTGCTGAGCAGGGAGCCCGATGCGGGACTCGATCCCGGGACTCCAGGATCATGACCTGAGCCGAAGGCAGTCGCTTAACCAACTGAGCCACCCAGGCGCCCAAGATTTTTATTTATTTATTTGAGAGAAAGAGAATGAGCTGGGGGAGGGGCAGAGGAAGAGGGAGAAGCAGACTCCCTGCTGAGCGAGGAGCCCACCTCAAGGTTCAATCCCAGGACCCTGAGATCATGACCTGAGCCGAAGGCAGACGCTTAACCAAATGAGCCACCCAGGCGCCCCTTCCTTATGATTTTCTTAATAACATTTTATTTTCTCTAGCTTACTGTAAGAGTATAGTATAAAATATATATAACACACAAAATAGGGGCGCGTGGGTGGCTCAGTCGTTAAGCGTCTGCCTTCGGCTCAGGTCATGATCTCAGGGTCCTGGGATCGAGCCCCAAAGAGGGCTCCCTGCTCCATGGGAAGCCTGCTTCTCCCTCTCCCGCTCCCCCTGCTTGTGTTCCCTCTCTCGCTGTGTCTCTCTCAGTCAAATAAATAAATAAAATCTTAAAAACAACATACAAAATATGTTATCAGTGAGGCTTCCAATCAACAGTAGACTATTAGTAGTTAAATTGTTGGAGAGTTGATAGCTATAAATGGATTTTTTGACTGAGTGAAGGTCGGTGCCCCTAACCCCCAAAGTGTTCAAGGGCCAACTGTATCTTCTGTTTACACACAAATGACTTGGCACATCCCCTTATGGCTTTGAAAGCCATCTTTTACTATGCCATTTGCCCTCCAGCCACTGATAATTATGCTTTCCCAGACACAGCTCTGTTTCTGCTTATGCTGTCTGATTTGCCCTCTGATACTCATTTACTGAAAACATATACTCATCCTCTAAGACTTGGCTCAAATATCACCTCCGCAAGTAAGCTTTGCTGAATCCTTTTTTTTTTTTTTTTTAAGTAAGCTCTAGGTCCAGTGTGAAGCTCAAACTCATGACCCTGAGATCAAGAGTGCCATGCTCTACCGACTAAGCCAGCCAATTGCCCCATTGCTAAATCCTTCTTTTGCAATCTATCACAGCTCTCTGATGATCTAATATGCTTCTTTTAGACCCTGATTATAAGTGACTCAGACCCACTGCAGACCAGTCATTCATATACTGATCTGGTGGAAGCCCTGGGAGTGGGGATGCCACATTTTATTTACCTTCCTTTCCCCGTATGCTTGGTGTTTGGGATTTAATACCAGCTCTGCAACTAAGTAGTAAATTCAGCTTCTCCAGATGGCTGACTTAGAATTACTTTTCTATACAGAAAATACAGAATCAGAGAGAGAATTAAATTCTTTAGAATTAGAAAATTCTTTAGAATTTTCATATTGAACAGTTACAGGTAGCTTTCACTAAATTACTTTTTCGACAAAATTTCACTACTATATAAACAATAAAGCCAAGAATAAAGTTGAAAATTATTACCTGAAAATCCTATGTTGGGGAATTTTCAACCATTGAAATAACTAATATTCCAGAGTTTGTTAAAACAGAGGTCTATGTGCCAACTTGCAACATTTATATAAATAGCTTTTTATCCTGGTGCCAACATCTGTGCCAGCCACAGCCAACCAGTCTGGTCTTGTACCATCACCACTATCTGACTCAGCAAGCTGGCAGGGCCACAGAGGAACAGGTTCTTTACTGGTGCGAGTCTCCTCAAGGACAGGAACTCTTTCTAAACACATTCCTAGTATTCCCATCATCTAACTCTGTGCCTTCCAAATAGATGCCATTCAGCAATATTTTCTGAATTCCATTCTCCAGACACTGAGATCTCACTATATATTTGGAAAGAAGAGATGCTCAATAAATCTCATGTCCTTAGTTCCATCACGAATGGGTAACAGGCTATCATTCAAGGTCTCACCCTTCGCAACAGGTATTAGTGGTACAACAGACTTTAAAGCATAGATTTTCACATCTATTCTCAAAGTCATATATTAACATACTTCTAGTGACAACAACTATTTAAAAAAAAAAAGCCCAACCACATGCCATATGCCAATAAGCAATCCATGGTGACTTTTTTATGACTATCAGAGAAGGAAGTTCCCAGATCTTCACTGCTTCAAGAACATAAAGATGAACTTACCATCATCTAAAGTGATGTCTTGCAGACCAATTGTTGAAAAGTTAGGTTCCTGCTCTTCAGGTTCAGGCTTAATGTTCACAGTTGCCTCATCCGGTGGAAATGAAGCTGGATCACACAAATTGTGACATATTAAGGATGAAGGTGCAGAAAGACCTCCCTGGCCTGTATTTTGTGCTTGAGTTGTGTGCTGTCCAGAATGCATTCTGGTGGCTAGAGACAGTGATGAGGCAGTTCCTGAGCTAGGAGATTGGTAAGGCATAGACTGTAGCTGAGGAGATGGTGGCCCAGAAAGTGGTGAACTAGCCAGGGTATGAGAGACTGCTGGGGAAGTGGTTGTAGCAGACCCTGAATGTGAAGGACCATATGTAATGGGCTGTAACTGAGGGGAAGGCTGGCCTGTGACCTGGTCAGCCCCTGGAGAAGAAAGAGATCTTTGTCCTGTGTTTGCACAATGGAATCCCATTGACTGCAGGTGAGGCAGGGTCTGCACCGAATGAGATGTGTGGGCTAAGAGATGTCCTGTTGGGCTTGAATTTGAAGAATGAAAAGGTATGGATGACGGTGGTTGACAGCCAAGATTTATTAAACTAGGAAGAGCTGCATCCTGTGGAAACAAAACCGGATCAAAATCTTGACTGGAGGCAGCATTGACTGGAAGACAAGTTGGTCCGTTGTACACAATATTAGTTTGCATAGGCTGATAGGAAGACCCCACAGGAGGTGTTGATGTGACTTGAAAAGGCTGGTGCATGACTGAAGAAGATATCATATGCTGTTCTTTACCAGCACTTTCATCCCTACACTGCAACTGTGGCAGGTGAGATGAAGTTACCATGGATGCATATGTTTGCTGGATGGGACAAACCAAGCTTCTCTGTGTTGACAGTACACTGTCATGTGGGTGTCCTGTGTCTGAGGAAGGCCTCTGGGTCTGGGCAGAATGAGGCACAGACAATGCTGGAACTGTAGACAAGTCAACCTCTTCTTTGTGTTCTTGCTTCATCAAAACTAAAAAGAAAATTATTAGAGCAAATATTATTACATAATATATACAATGATTATAAAGGGCCTTCATTCTAGGCTACATAACTTAGCATGCATCCAAGCCAGGGGTTAAAAATTCAAATGCCTTCAGAGAAGGCAAATAATATAAAATATGTGAAGTCAGCAAGCATAAGACAACAGGGAGTGGTTGTTGCTCTAAAAGTGTTCAAGTTAAAAAAAACAACAACGCTGTACAGAACTCTATGAAGTGATGTGGAAAGATCTCTAATACGTTTCTAAGTAACAAAAAAAGTGAGTTACAGAACAGTGTTACATATCACAAATCTTGTAAAATAACGTGTGTATATAGACATATGCATAATCATGTGCATGTTTTTGCTTATATATCTCCAGAAAGATGTCATGAAACTGGTAACTACTGGGTTTAGCACTGGGAATGGAAACTAGGTAACTAGGGGATAAGAGCAAGAGCCAGATTTACTTTTTACTATGTAAGTTTTGTGTCTTTTGAATGTTTTCAACCAAGTATATACATCACCTATTCAAAATAAATGATTTTTTAAAACCCCCAAAGCTCGGGGCACCTGGGTGGCTCAGATGGTTGGGCGTCTGCCTTCGGCTCAGGTCATGATCTCAGGGTCGTGAGATGGAGCCCTGCATAGGGCTCTGCGCTCAGTTGGAAGTCTGCTTGAGATTTTCTCCCTCTCTCTAAATAAATAAGTAAATCTTTAAAAAAAATTAAAGGGCGCCTGGGTGGCTCAGATGGTTAAGCGTCTGCCTTCGGCTCAGGTCATGATCCTGGGGTCCTGGGATCAAGTCCCACATCGGGCTTCCGGCTCGGCGGGGAGCCTGCTTCTCCCTCTGACCCTCTACCTTCTCATGCTGTTTCTCTCTCGCTCGCTCTCTAAAAAATAAATAAAATCTTAAAAAAAAAAAAACCCAAAGCTCTATGGCCTAATAAAAGCCTTAAATTTGAGGGGCGTCTGGGTGGCTCAGTTGGTTAAGCGGCTGCCTTCAGCTCAGGTCATGATCTCAGGGTCTTGAGATTGAGCCCCACATCAGGCTCCCTGCTCAGTGGGAAGTCTGCTTCTCCTTCTCCCTCTGCTGCTCCCTGATTGTGCTCTCTTGCTCGCACTCTCTCAAATAAATAAAATCTTAAAAAAAAAAAAGCCTTGAATTTGAGATCTCTGATCTGAAACCTCCTGGCCACCTGGTTTTGCATGTTACATCATACACCACGGATCTAATCGAATTTAATATTCATAGAGCTTCTAGTTTACAATGGTCTTCACGTGTACCTCATCTGATCCTCAACCAACATCAGATAAATATTACAAGAGGAATAATGAGGGATCAAAAAAAGTACTGGAATGCACAAAAAACTTGATAGAGCTAACAAAAACACATTCAACAAAGTTGCAGGACACAAAATCAACATGTAGAAACCAGTTGTATTTCTATAAACAAGCAATATACCATCTGAAAAGGAAATTAAGAAAATTTCCTAAGTCAATCAGAGAAAGATAATTATATGATCTCACTCATACGTGGAATTTAAGAAACACAGGATCATAGGGAATTTAAGAAACACAGGATCATAGGGGAAGAGAGGAAAAAATAAAACAGGATGAAATCAGAGCGGGAAACAAACCATAAGAGTCTCTTAATCATAGGAAACAAACTGAGGGTTGCTGGAAAGGAGGGGGGTAGGGGTATGGGGTAACTGGGTGATGGACATTAAGGAGGACACGTGATGTAATGAGCACTGGGTATTATATAAGACTGATGAATGACTGACCTCTACCTCTGAAACCAATACTATATTATATGTTAATTGAATTTAAATTAAAACAATAAAAAATAACTGAGTCTGCCAAAAAAAGAAAACAATTTCATTTATAATAGCATCAAAAAATAAATCTGTTCCCTAAAGAACAAATTTGGCCAAGGTAGGCAAGACTTACAAACTGAAAAGCACAAAACACTGCTAAAGAAATGAAAGAAGACCTAAATACATGGGAAGATATCCCAGGTTCATGGATTGGATGACTTAATTAACTGTTAAGAACACAACACTTCCCCAAACAATTTTCAGATTCAACCCCAAAATCCCAGCAATGTTTTTTTGCAGAAATAGACCCATCCTAAAATTTCTATAGAATCCTAAGGGACCCCAAATACTCAAAACAATCTTGAAAAAGTACAAAGACAGAGGACTTGCACTTTGTAATTTCAAAACTTACTACAAAACTACAGCAATTAAAACCATGTGATACTGGCCTAAGGACAGACATCAGACCAATGGAATAGAGAGACCAAAAACAAACCCTCTAATATATAGTCAATTGCTCTTCAAACAAGGGTGCCAAGACCATTCATCGGGGGAAAGAACAGTCTCTTCAACAAACAGTACTGAGACAACTGGATATCACATTCAAAATAATGAAGATGGAACCTTATCTGAAAATCATATACAAAAATTAACTCAAGTGGATCAAAGACCTAAACATAAGAGCAAAACTACAAAACTCTTAGAAGAGAGCAAAGGGCATCCAAAGAGTAGAAGCTCTCTGGATCCCTCTTCCAGTATAACCAGAATACCCAAGCTAGATTTCATCCTTTTTATATATTGGCTTTTTGCCTAAGATTTTATTTGAAAAGTAAAACAATTTAACCTGAAAAGCATTGCCTTAGACTTATATCCTTTTTTTTAAAAAAAGATTTTTATTTATTTATTTGAGACAGAGAGAGAACGAGCAGGGGTGGAAGAGCAGATGGAGAGGGAGAAGCAGACACCCGCTGAGCAGGGAGCCTGACACGGGGCTTGATCCCAGGACCCTGAGATCATGACCCAAGTCAAAGGCAGACGCTTAACCGGTTGAGCCACCAGGTTCCCCTGTTCTTTGTTTTTTTTTAAGATTTATATCCTCACATTTTATATAGATTAATCAGTGGGTATAGTCTGTGGCAGAACTGAAACCGGATCTCCTGACTGTTAGGCAGGCTTTCTCTCCCAGCTGGAGAACGGAGAACCATAATCCAAAAGTCTGTCCAGTGAACTACTTAGAGCATAGAATATACTTTCCCATAGATAAAATTATTATACATGAAAGTTTGGCTCTAATGTTGTCCCCCAAAGCCCCACTATTCCAAAGCCAGAGCTCAGATGGTACCTCCAGTACAAAATACTATTGCTAGGCTTCAGAGGGAGGTATAGTCCCCCAAAAGCTTCAGGGATACTGGGATGGAAGAGAGGGCTCCCACATCCGAAGTTTTGAAGCTAGAGGCTGGGCAGAAATTCAGGCAGCACTACTAGGGAAGGGCTCTGTGATAAGGGTAATTTGTAAATCATACACATATACCGGGAATGGTCTTCAATTCATAAAGTAAACTGACTATGGGACAAACTACGCTAAATACAATCTCCAATTCTAAAAAAAAGTTATTACACCTGAAACTAACATATCATTGTATGTCAACTATACTTCACTAATAAAAATTAAAACAAAACAAAAAACTCAAAACAGCCATTTGCAACTGATTATTCTCTCATTGGATATTGATATTGGTCAGGTTCCTATTGCTAGGGGGTTAACGAATCAAAAACAAGCAACTTATGAATATCTAAAATTTTTATTTTTTAATTTTTTTAAAAAGATTTTATTTTCTATCTCTATTTGAGATAGAGAGAGCACAATGTGGCAGGGAGGGGCAGAGGGAGAGGAAGAAGCAGGCTCCCTGCTCAGCAGGGAGCCCAAAACAGGGTTCAATCCCGCTTTATCCCAGGACCCTGGGATCATGACCTGAGCCAAAGGCAGACACTTAACTGACTGAGCCACCCAGGCACTGCTGAATATCTAAAAATTTTATAAGCAAAACTTAAAAAAGAATTGCCACAACAAATAAAAGGTGAAAATCTTTAATATAAATAATTCATACCAATTAAGACAAACATAACTCTAAGTATCACATACTAGAATACTAGAAGCTATTGAAATTCTGTAACACTTTATCTGCTCAAGAAGAAAAATAAAAATGCTGAGGCCACAAAATTAGTATACTATATATATTTTGGTCTCATTTTTATTTTAAAATGTTGCGCTATAAATGGATCAAAAGGATCCAGAAGGATAGAATGACAGTTTCAGAGCAGAAGACAATTAGGGTGTTTGAAAATATTTTTTCAACTTGTCTTTTTTTCCCCTTTTCTTCCCTTAAAGATTTTATTTATTTGAGAGAGAGAACACGCGTGAGCAGGGGAGGTGCAGAGGGAGAGGGACAAGCAGATTCTGTGCTGAGTGCAGAAGTGACGCAGGTCTTGATCCCAGGACCCTGAGATCATGACCTGAGCAGAAACCAAGAGTCAGATGCCTAACCAAATGAGGCACCCAGGCGCCCCTCAACTTGTCTTTTTTAAAAAATAAATTCGCAGTAATGTATTTGCTTTTATAAAAATTTTATTCAAAATTTCATTTTAGAAAAAAATGAAAAAAGCCAAATGCTACAGAGAAAAGACAGTAATCAACCACAACAAGGACTGCCCACTTTAAAAAATATATATTCTATTTATTTATTTGAGAGAGAGAGAGAGAGACAGCACAAGTGGGGGGAGGGACAGAGGGGGAGAAGGGGAGGTGGAGGGAGAGAATCTTTAGCTGACTCCACAGTGATCACAGAGTCTGATTTGGGCTCAATCCCACAATCCTGAGATCATGACCTGACCCAAAACCATGAGAGGGACACTTAACTGACTAGCCACCCAGGCTCCCCCAAACACTTCTTGAACCTATTCTTCTGTGTGTGCCACCTGATTTGTATATTGTCAGTCATAAGGCCAGTGAAGACAGTTGGTAGTCCAATCCAGTACTCTTTCTGCACTCTGGGGACCCACTGATTTCCATTCTCATATATAACGCCCTCCAGGGTTTTGTCTAGGGTCCTCCCAACTCCTGAGCTGATAATGTAAAGGCATTTTATATTATCTCTTTGCCTGTTCAATTACTACTGCTATGATGGTAACAATGAAAACTTCTAATCTGCTGACCCTCTTCTGTTGTTTTTTTATTTTTAAACAATCCCAGAAGTCCTCTCTCCCTTCTTATTCAGGTTAGATTCTACAGTCTCCCATCTTCACAGCATTTGATAACATTCTTGGACTGTATGTCTTTATCACCCTGGAGGAACCCTACTATCTGTTATTTTACCACCTACCCTAAAGAATCTGAGTGCTGTTTAAGAAAGTTACACAGCAGGGCGAATTAGTATTTATAAATTCATGAATATCAACATCAAAGGTGCCCTTTCATCATGCCTAGAATCCTATTATGTTTCTGTGGTAACTTACTCTCCCCTTTCTTTACAACAACTGTTTCAAACTTGTCCACATTCTTCAAACTGCCAAATCACCCACACTCCCCTCTGCTTCCAACAGAAGATTCCATCTTATTCCTTAAAGAAAAAAAGTTGATCTATCATATGGAAACTCCCTAAACTCTTCACTACTAAATGTACAAACCTGCCTAATATACATCCATCTTGTTCATCCTTACCTTCCCCTTCCTGTTCCTTCTCCCACCTAAGGCCCATTCCAACTTTTACATTTTAAATTTTAATCCTTCCCACCTTTTTCAGAAACCTGATATTCTTTATTTTCATTAATGCAGTCTCCTCTATTCTGAATCACTTTTTTAACTTTTTTGGGCCTCTGCCATATAAATCTCACTTTCCACAATAATTTGAGGAAAGACTAAACTGGTCATTGACACCTTATAAGAAGAAATACGGGGAAAATGATTTTTATTTTAAACTTTCTTTTAGTTGAATATATTTGACACATAACATTGTGAAAAATTTAAGGTGTATAACAAGTTAATCTGATACATGCATATGTTACAGGGAAAAGGATTTTTAAAGTAGGCTCCATGCCCAACGTGAGGACAGAACTCACAACCCCAAGATCAAGAGTCGCAGCTCTACTGACTGAGCCAGCCAGGCGCCCTGAAAATGGTTTTTGAAATACAAATTTGATCATGTCACCTCTCTGTTAAAGCTCATTTCTTACAACTTTTTTTTTTTAAAGAGAGGATAGAAGGGGGGAGAGGGAGAGAAAGAATCTTAAGCAGGCTCCACACCCAACATTGAGCCCAATGCAGGGTTCGATCTCAAAACCCCGAGATCATGACCTGGCCAAAATCCAAGAGTCGGACGCTTAACTGACTGAGCCACCAAGGCACCCCTCTTTTTTTTTTAAGATTTTATTTATCATAATATCTATCTATCTGACAAGGAATAAGAAAACAGGGGGAAGAGCAGAAGGAGAAGGACAAGCAGACTCCACACTGAGCACAGAGTCCGAAGCAGGGCTCAATCCCATGACCCTGAGATCATGACCTGAGCTGAAATCAAGAGTCAGACACTTAACCAACTGAGGCTCTTTTAATATTGCATTATCCAACCAACCACAAGACCTTTGCATATGCTGCGGTCTTTATCTGGAACGTTCTCCCTCACTTTATCTAAGACAGTTATTAACTGTATAGACGCTACAGCCAGACTGCCTGGATTCAAATCTCACCTCTGCCAGTTATTAGCTGTGTGACCTGGTTCACTCGTTTGCAAAATGGAAAGAGCAGTATTACCTATTTTACAGGATTATGAGAGGATAAATTAGTTATTTTGTATAAACTGCTTAGAATAGCACCTGGCACACACTAAATGCTCTATATAACAGTGCTAAATCAATGAACAAAATGGAGATGTACTCTAGCATAACAGGTGCCCAGACTCTGGAACCAGACTGCCTATGCATGATGTTTGGCTCTAAGATTTAAGTGCTGTGAGACCCTGGGCATATTACGTAGCTACTCAGTTTCTTCATCTGTAAAACAAGATAATAACCTATCTCATAGGTCTATTATGAGGATCAAAAGAATAAATACAGAAAGGGCTTAGAACACCATATGCATGCATGTATGTATGTACGTATACACACACACACACACTAGATATATATACATGTCCACAAACTATTATTATTTTCCAGTTATCAAGTATTACTTTCCCATAAAAGTCTTTTCTCAACCAGTTAGCCTAGGCAAGGGTCCCTCTGTTATTTTCACCTATAGCATTGTGTCCCTCTCCTTCAGAGTCCGTACTGCAGTTTCTAATTACAAATTTGTAACTAATTTATTTAGTGATTCATTAGCTTCTGTTTGTCCCACTAGATTATAAGTTCCATGATAAAGGAACTGAGATAGGTTTCACCCACTTGGTAAGCACCCTCAAATACCTACTGAATTAATATTGAAATGGCTAACCAAAATCTTTCAGAATGTTTGTATTCTATTTGAGAATGATCTGAAATATTTTATTACCAAGTAATGTATTAACATGATCAAGTAATATTAATTTTCAGATTTGGGAATAAAAATGGCCTTTAGAGGCTAAAATTGGAAATATAGTCAGGCTTTAAAGAATATGAATGACAAATGAATGATCATTAATAACCAGTACCCTTTCAAATTTAAGTGTTTATTTTTTTCATTTACTATAAACCATTTAAAAGTTTTTGCAAGAGGGAGGGCCTGGGTGGCTTAGTCAATTGGGCATTCAACTCTTGATTTTGGTTCAAGTCATGATCTCAGGGTTGTAGGATCGAGCCCTGTGTCAAACTCTGAGCTCAGTGGGGAGTCTGAGATTCTCTCTCTCTAAAATAAATGAATAAATCTTAAAGAAAAATAAAAGTTTTTGCAAGAGTAAGTTTTGAAGAGTAAAGTTCACTATGATTTTTTATTATCGTATGCTCTGGTGACTAATAACAGTGCCTAAAACAAGACAGGGCCTCTATAAAGATTTGTTCTCTAAGTATGTAAACATCAGCATGGTTACTGTATCTAATATTTATGTGTCACAACCAAACCTGGAAAGTTACAGCATTTGAACTACTGCAGAAAGCAGTATGGAAGCTTTGTTAGGGTGCATCTATACAACCAGAAACTCTGGCAACAACTTTATACCCCCCACAGCCCATAGTATGCTACAGTCACTACTTGCCAAATGAAAAATCTAATGGGAGATTTTTCATCTGATTGGAAATGTTTGAGATGAACACACTACCTTTTTGCAGTGCTAAGGACGCAAGGGGGAGTCACACATGTTCACAAACACCTGCTCTTACTGTACTGCTGGTGATTTCCGGTAGCTACTGAAAAACAGACCTAAAATCTACACTCAATCTTCTAATTTCCTTATAATCAGTAACTATAAAATAACAACTAATATCACATCTAATATTTATTTATTTTTTGAAGATTATTTATTTGACAGAGAAAGACACAGCGAGAGAGGGAACACAAGCAGGGGGAGTGGGAGAGGGAGAAGCAGGCTTCCCGCGGAGCAGGGAGCCCGATGCGGGGCTCGATCCCAGGACCCCAAGATCATGACCTGAGCCGAAGACAGTCGCTTAACGAACTGAGCCACTGAGGCGCCCCAACATCACATCTAATATCTAACGGCAAACTTGACAGATTGGCATATGTTGGGATTTTTATTGATTATAAGCACTCTACCTTAAACATTCCCATATAGGTTTCACTGAATAACTTTTTATTCATTATGAAAGCAAGCTCTATAGTAAACCATCACAACTTCCCATACCTGGTGTGTAAGTAAAACGTTGAGACTGGCTTTTTTTCCTCTTGCCATTGCAAAGATAAAAGTGCACCTGCACCGCAGCTGTAACTGCTGGGTTATGATATGGAGGAACTTCAAGGACAATGTGAGCCTAAGGAGCATGGAAAGCAAGATTGTGTTACACTCAGAACTAAAAATGAAATGCACCTGCTAAACTCAGCACAACTCATGAGTCTTAACTACCCAGTCTCTCCCATCATAGATCATTATGCACATCAACTGGTCATGTAAGTCATCTGGAGATTTACTCTATGAAACCCTAGTCTCAACAGAGATAAACTCTTTAAAGTAAACCACTAACGGAGAAATTACCTTTTAGTCATCCAACTGGGTTTCTAGTTGTAGCAGAAATAAAAACAGTCTTATATACTATGTAGTGAGATACTCTGCACTACTGAATATTACATGTTACTACTGATCTTAAGTGGAAGTCTGTTCTGCTTTTCAATCAGGTTTAATATTTCTTTATAGTTTATAGTTTAGATTTCTTCTTTTTAATAGTTTAGATTTCTTATCTTAAGTTTCATATTCAAAATGTTCTAAACTGGCAATATACAAAATCTTTCCCCACATAAAAAATAATTTTACACAAGCAGAGTGAAAACTGTTAGCCCCAAACCAATTGCAACCCTTAATCGAATTTCTCCAGGTCTCTGGAGAGCACTGTGCAGTGTTATTCTCTACCCCACAGAAGATTCTGTCACCATTCCAACCAGGATGAAGGGACCACAGCATTCAGTGGTGAATCCTGAAGGTTTAATGCTGAAAAGACGCAAATATCATGCTAAATACACAAACCCATGAGGGCTTGTTCTCCCCATTTTATATGTTCTTTACTGAATTTATTTGATTTTTTCACTGAATTCAGAGAAATAAATTAATAACATTAGTAAGAACCTTCTAATAAAAGGGAAAGACACCAATTGTTTATCTATCCTAAATTTAATTTTAGTGTCAGGAAAGTACCTATCTCATGTCCAAACTTCTAAAAATTCGAATTTACTTTTCTTTCACTCAACAGATAAAAGACTCATCTATAATATAAAGTAGCGTTATCCCATTTTCTTATCATGCTTCTTAAGTATGTCAAAAGAAATAAAGTACATTTCTTACCCCTTGACATTTTTCCCTGATTATTTTCCCTTCTACCTCCCACTGAGGTCGTCCATCTATTGAAAGAAACAATTTACAGTTAAAAGTAATTCAAGTCAGAAAGTATATAAACAAAATCTAATGCATTTAGTATCACAAGCTTATTGGCAAAGGGATTCTTTTTCTCAATGACTTCCATTATGAAAATAAAATATGTACCCATGAGAAAAAACAGGGAGAAAGATCTTGGGCTACCTGAGTTAGCAGGCCCCACAGTTTACTCTATCAAGTGACATTTGAAAAATCCTCTGAGAGCACCTCCACCAAGGGGTAACCAATTTCTGCTTGTATACCTTAGGTAATGGGAAACTCACTCCCTCACCAAGTAACCCATTTTATCTCTGGACAGTCATTGCTGCTGGAAAGCTCTTCATGATAAATGAAATCTGCCTCCTTATAATATCCCATCACTGGTTTAAGAACTACTCCTTGCAGGCCACCTATCCAAAAAATCTTGAGTGGTTCTCTACAAGACAGTATTCCAAATATTTAAAAACAGCTATATTTGCATGTGTCTCCTCTTCTGTTGGCTAGCAACCCCAGTTCTGCATCTAACTCCTACACAGTATTTTAGCCTTCCTGCCCACTCTTCTTTGAACATTCCTCCAGTGTGACCATCCCCCTCCAAATGTACCGAGCCCAGAACTGAATAATCCAAGTGGGAAATGACCCAGCATGGTAGAGAATGACTAGGCTCTTGCCACCTTATGTGAAGGTGCTGCGTCTGTTAGAAGTTTTCTGGGGCAACTGCACCATACTGACTTACACTTAGTGTGCAGTCAGCAAGTTTCCCTCAGTCCACTACATTTCCTACCATCAAGTTCAAACTCCTACTTACGTGTTTTTCCCCTGCAACCCTTATTAGGTTAATTTCTCCCTACTAGACTTAGATTGCTTGGCTTGCCAAGATCTTTTTATTTATTTTTTTCCCAAAACTTTATTTATTTATTTTTTTAAAGATTTTATTTATTTGACAGAGAGAGACACGGCAAGAGAGGGAACACAAGCAGGGGGAGTGGGAGAGGGAGAAGCAGGCTTCCCGCTGAGCAGGGAGCCTGATGAGGGGCTGGATCCCAGGACCCTGGGATCATGACCTGAGCCGAAGGCAGACACTTAACCGACTGAGCCACCCAGGTGCCCCGCCAAGATCTTTTTAGACACTGATGGTCTCTGAATATATTTGCTAGGCTTTCCAGATTTGTGTCACCGAAAGATCTGGCCAGCACATTTTCTGTCTCTTCATCTCAAGTGAATTGTTCCCCTGGGGAGAACCCCAACTGCTACTAAAGCTCTCACTCCAGTCTGACGTGCAGTCTAAAGCATTCTTTTTTAAGTCACGGGCATTTGCCCATTGACTAATCCATACAAGTATCTTCAGAGTTAGCATGACTTCTTCATCTGGTCTGTGAGGGTATCAGAAAAGGCTCAGGGGCACCTGGGTGGCTCAGTCGTTAAGCGTCTGCCTTCGGCTCAGGTCATGATCCCAGGTCCTGGGATCGAGCCCCGCATCAGGCTCCCTGCTCAGCGGGAAGCCTGATTCTCCGTCTCCCACTCCCCCTACTTGTGTTCCTGTTCTCGCTATCACTCTCTCTGTCAAATAAATAAATTAAATCTTTAAAAAAAAAAAAAAAAGAAAAGGCTCAAACACCTTCTAAATTGTGACTATCATTTTCCAGTCCAGTAACTAGATAATGGCTACCCTTGGACACAAGAGACACTACAGACAAATGCTATGCCTACACAGAAATACAGCTCAGCTCAACAATCATCTGCTGGGTCCTGACGTGCCAGGCACTTTGGGTTACTGAGATAATGACGATAGGATATTCTTACCTTCAGTCTGTGGATGAAAGACAAATACAAACAGTTCGTTACAATAAAATGTGGTGGTTACAGTAACCAGTAAAGGTGCACTCTGGATGTGCCAAGAGAACAGAAGTCAGGGTCCTTACCCTAGCCTTGGTGTAAGGGTATAAGACAAAGACGGTTTTTTCCTGCGTTCTTGAACTGAGGCTTAAAAATCAGGTAGAACTCAAGTGATGCGGGGTGGGGGTGGGGGGGAAGTCTAGGCAGAAGAGAGGGCATGAGCAAAGCCTAGATGGCAAGAAACTACACGATACAGGGAACCATAAGCAGTTGTGTTGGTGGGATATAAAGTATGAGGCAGGGAGCAATAAGAAATGAGGCTGGAAAGAAAGGCAATAGATTGTGACCTAAATGCCATGTGAAGGGGCCTAAAATATGAAGGGACTACTGATGGTGCTTTCAGAATGGGAGTTACATATTCACACCTGCAATTTCATCTGAAACCAGTAACTGCTACCATTTAACATGATTCAATTTAAAACAAAAGCACTCAAAAATAAAGTTCTGAGTTAAATGAATTCTATAATGAAACTGCCTTACATACATACATACATATTTATTATATTCAGGCACAAATGAATTTTTATAATGGAAAGGGGTAGCTCTGAGATACTATCTCTTCCTTATACTTATGTTTATTGTCTGCTTCCCCAATAGAAGGTAGACCGTCAAAGCAAGCAACCTGAAGATTTTATTCACTATTATATTCCCAATGCCTAGACTAATGTCTGTCATGTAACAGTTGCTTCATAAATAATTGATGAATTAATAAATTGTGAAACAGAACTGATACTTCTTGAAGACAGGCAGGTATTGGTCAGGATCAAAGGAGCTGGAAGGAAGTGAATTTTAAAGGGAAATCACACATGGAAAAATATGGTTTCCGGCCTAAGAATAGGAAGACATAACATTATTAATCAAGTTAGGAGACTCACTGAGATGAACTGATTTGTTAAGTCTGACATTTTTTTATATTTTAAGTATCAGTGGGCCATTTACTCAATATTCGGTGGGTACTTTAAAGCACATGTTAGAAGTTTAAAAGAAATAATGTGGCTATAGATAGAGATATGATGGTTGATGAAATTTTCTAGAATGAAGGAATATAATGAAAAGAAAGCTGAACCAGAGAACCTTGGGAAACATCTATATTTAAGGGCCAGAAAAACTGATAAGTAAAGATGAGTGGGGATAGTTAAAAACGTGCCAAGAACCAGGTAAGTACAATCACAGAAAGGCCAAGAAAAAAAAGACTATCAAGGAGGAGAGTGGGTAGCTGACTGTCAAAGTTTTAGGTTATGTTTCAATACAGAAGATAGAAGAGTAAGTAGCAGGTAAGGAAATGAAGGCAGATGACATTACTTTTTTGAGAGGTTGGATGATAAATGAAAGAAATAAAATGATAGTGGGCGCCTGGGTGGCTCAGTTGGTTGAGCGACTGCCTTCGGCTCAGGTCATGATCCTGGAGTCCCTAGATCAAGTCCTGCATTGGGCTCCCTGCTCTGCGGGGACTCTGCTTCTCCCTCTGACCCTCCCCGCTCTCATGTGCTTGCTCTCTCTCATTCTCTCAAATAAATAAATAAAATCTTTAAAAAAAAAAAAAAGAAATAAAATGATAGTTTGTGAGGATGACAGAATCAAGGGAAAGAGAATGGTTTAGTATGAAAAAATTTAAACTTATTTAAACTCCAAGAAAAAGTATTCAGTGGAAAAAGGTACTGAAATCATAAGAGGCAGTGAAGATAATGTATAGCCTTTTTAAATACTTAAGTTTTAAAAAGATGAAAGCATGAAAAATGAATGAGATTACCATTTAAATTAAGAAAAAGAAACATATTAAGCCCCCAAAAAATGAAAAGAAAAAAAAAAAATACAGAAACCAGGGAATACAGAAACTGACAGGATCAATAAAATCAAAGTACTCTGGAAACACTGACGAAAAAATCAGAGTTGGCACAAATAATAGCAGGAATACATTTTTTAAAAGGGATATAATTCCAGATGCAGAAATATAGTATCATAACCAAATTAATGTCAACAAATTTGAAAACTTGAGTGAAATAATTAAAATCCTTGTGTGAAATAATAGGGAAATATATATTGGTCTTTGCCTCTGGTTCCTGGAATAAAGCTCCTAAAATTCTTTAATATATTCTTTTAATGATTTTATTTATTTATTTGTCAGAGAGAGAGCACGCACGCTCACAAGCAGAGGGAGCAGCAGGCAGAGGGAGAAGCAGGTCCCCCGCTGAGTAGGGAGCCCGATGTGGGACTAGATCCCAGGACTCTGGGATCATGGCCTGAGCCAAAGGCAGATGCTTAACCAGCTAAGCAAGCCAGGCATCCCAGAGCTCCTAAAATTCTTACAATTTCCTAAGTGGTAAGAACTCCAGGAATAGCTTTTGTTCTTGTATTTGGTCTTTGACCCCAGTTCCTGACACAGAGGTCTTAAATCCCTTGGAATTTCCTGCGTGATAGGACTATCTCTTGTTCTAAGGAGGTGACTCTTGGTAGGCTCCTGGATGGAGTCTGGTCACCAAAAAGACCAAGCCATGATTAGAAGCTTGGAACTTTCAGTCCCACCTCCATTCTCCAGAGAGGGGAGAGGGGCTAGAAATGGAATAATCAATCAAGACTGTGTGGTGAAGCCTCCATAAAAATTCTAAATTACTGCAGAGTTTGGGGGAACTTCTGGGTTGTCAAACACATGGAGGTGGCTGGGATAGTGGCATGTCCATAGAGGATACAGAAGCTCTGCACCTTCCCATATACCCTACTCCATGTATTTCTTCCACCTGGATGTTCATCTGTATCCTTTATGATATCCTCTACTATATATTAAACTGGTAAATGTAAGTAAGTGTTGCTCTGAGTTCTCCTCTACCAAATGATCAAATCCAAGACGGAAGTCATGGGAACCTCTGATCTGTAGCCAAGTCAGACAGAAGTTGTGGGCACCTACTATTTTCGACTGGCATTTGAGGCAGTCTTATGGGACTGAGCCCCTAACCTGTGGTTTGTGCTAACTCCAGTTACTGTCAGAATTGAATTTAATTAAGAACATCCAGTTCATGTCAAAGAATTGGTTGATATATGGGAAACCCACACATCTGGAGTCAGAAGTATTATGATTGTGGCAACAATGTGAGAGTAAAGGAGAAACAGATTGAGGGTTTTGTTTTTGTTTTTGTTTTTAACCTGGAAAAATATAAATCACAAAAAATAACTCAAGAAGAAATAAACTTGGGGCGCCTGGGTGGCTCAGTCGTTAAGTGTCTGCCTTCGGCTCAGGTCATGGTCACAGGGTCCTGGGATCGAGCCCTGCATCAGGCTCCCTGCTCCACGGGAAGCCTGCTTCTCCCTCTCCCACTCTCCCTGCTTGTGTTCCCTCTCTCGCTGTCTTTCTCTGTCAAATAAATAAATAAAATCTTTAAAAAAAATCCACAAAACTTAAATGGTCCCTATACCCATGAATAGAATCATAACAGAATTTAATAGTCCCACAAAGCCCCCAGCCCAGAAGGTTTCAGAAATGAGCTCAACTACATGTTTATAGGAAGGTGAAATTATAAGACACACACCTGGGGAGTGGGAAAAAGTGAGGCACTTCCCCAACTCACTTTGATATCCAGAATACATAAACAATCTTATAAGGCAGTAAGAAAATGAAAACTGACTCAATGGAAAAAAATGGGCAAAAAACACCAACAGATATTTACATAAAAAAGGATACATGAATGACCCACAACACCCTCAATAAATGTCAGGCAAATTCAAATCCAATGTTCAAGATACCATTTTACACCTACCAGATTAACAAAATTTAAGAATTATGACATTACTATGTATGCCCATCAGGTGATAAGAACTAAAATGTTCATAGCAGCACTGTTAGCTACTGTTTGGTAATGCCAACAACTGGACACAGCCCAAATGTCCAGTGAGAAAACAGATAATAAACTGGCATGTTCATTCAGTAAAACTATGTAGAAGTGAAAGTGAAAGATCTTCTATTACATGGATCAATCCTAAAACATTAACGGTGACCTCTATCAAAAGCAATTTTCAGAAGAATATATGCACTGTTATACGTAGTTCAAAACCAGAGAAAACACATAAAACTATAAAGAAAAGCACTGATCGATTTAGGAGTAGGATCCATTTGGGAAGGGGCCTCAAGAGGTCTTCAGAGATAAATGTCTTACTTCTTAAACTGGGTAGCAGATATGAGTTTCTGTTATATTCTTCTTATAAAAAGGTATTTCACAATTTTAAAAATGCTTTAAAAAATGAGAAGGAATAACTGATGGAAAATGTTCTGTTTTTCCATGCACCTCCACCACCCCACAGGGTCCTGAGACACTGTGTGAGACGAGGGAGGTACTGGTTTTTTACTTTTTGTAGAGGTGGTCCCTGTCCTCCAGGAGCTTAATGGAAAAATGTTTTATTTTTATTTTTTTAAAGATTTCTTTTTATTTAACTGACAGAGAGAGAGAGACACAGCGAGAGAGGGAACACAAGCAGGGGGAGCGGGAGAGGGAGAAGCAGGCTTCCCGCCGAGCAGGGAGCCTGATGCGGGGCTCGATCCCAGGACCCTGGGATCATGACCTGAGCTGAAGGCAGACGCTCAACCGACTGAGCCACCCAAGTGCCCCGGAAAAATGTTTTAAATAGGCTCAAGAAGGGCTAAATCAAACATCCTGATAGTCCTAGGATTCTTCTACATTTCTGAAAAATGAAGATATAATTTACATATTTAACATAAAACTCACCCATTTAAAGTATAAAATTGAGAGATTTTTAGTATGTTCACAGAGCTGTACAACCACCATCACTATCTAATTCCAGAAACCCCGTGCGCATTAATAGTCACTCCCCTCCCTCCAATAGGGGCAACCACTAATCTACTTTCTGTGTTTATGGATTGCTGATTTGGGACATTGTGCACGGACTCCTTTCACCTAGCACATTTTTAAGGCTCATTCATGTTGTGTTATGAATCAGTACTTTATTCTTTTTTATGGCTGATTAACATCCCATTGTATGGATAGACCCCAGTTTGCTTATCCATGTAACAGTTGATGATCATTTGGGTTGTTCCCATTTTTTGGCTATGATGAATAATGTGGTGATAAGTATGTGTATCTAAGTTTCTGTGCAACATATTGTCAATTCTCTTGAGTATACGTATACATAGGAGTAGAAATACTGGGGGTTCTTCTATTTTTGAGACATCCTTAATGAGAATTCAACATTTATATGAAAATTTAAGAAATGTATGGCTTACAAAAAAAAAAATCTGTATAAATGATGTCTGTAGCTTTAGGAAAACTATTTTGTGATTAATGTTAGTGAAACATCTGAATAATTTCTTTTACCCTGTCTACCCCTTATTTTGAGGTCAATAAACTCAAATCTTATTTACCTTGTCCTTTTTCAAGAAAAATGATTTTGGATTCCGGAAGAAAATTAGATCCAGTCACAACCATTTCATGACCTCCATTTACAGAACAACTGTTGATACTGTACTTCTCAATATGAGGAAGTTCTTGAGCAGACCGCTGAGCTGTTTTTTTTTTTTTTTAAAGAGTTGAGAAGAAACAAAGTATTAGTTTAAAATATTCCACACATAAATGATAAATTAAAGCTATACAATAAAAATAAAGAGAAGCAAACTCTGGGCTTTTAAAGTTTGAGACAGTGGTAACAATATCCACTATTATTTAGAAAACAAAATAGATTTATTAGATTTGTGTGATTTCTAAATAATTTTCTAATAACTGTAAAGAAACCAATAGAGAAAAATTAATCAATGCCTGCAACTTCATATTGACTCCAAAACATTAATTTCATCCACTTTTCTCCTTTTAGCTTGTCTTCAATACGTTTCTTCCTTACAACTGTTAAAATTGATAAATCTAATGTAACTATAAAAAGCAAATTAATCCAAACATAGGTAATTATATTGCATACAATTAAAAGAAGACAAGTTTCTAAAGGACAAACATGAATTAGCTCTTTCCCCAAGAAAGTATCTAGGGGCGCCTGGCTCAGTCGTTAAGCGTCTGCCTTTGGCTCAGGTCATGATCCCAGGGTCCTGGGATTGAGCCCCGCATCAGGTGCCCTGCTCGGCGGGAAGCCTGCTTCTCCCTCTCCCCCTGCTTGTGTTGCCTCTCTCGCTGTCTCTCTGTTAAATAAATAAATAAACCTTAAAAAAAAAAGTATCTAGATCATCACCGAGACAACAGGATTCCATTCTGTGCAATTTTCTAAATAACTGAAGCATACATGAAGTACATACTGAATTTTAAAAAAGGCAAGTAAATGTTTCTACAGTGCACTGCACTCTTCCTTCCCAGGGTATGTGAACATAATTTTTCTTAGTGCCTTAAGGTCAGTCTTTAAATTATCAACTTTTATAAAATGACCTTGGTCACCTTTCTCTGATATTGCCTGATTTCAAGTTGTTATATTTTGTGAGATCCTATCTCTTGAGTTTTCTTTTCTCTCTTTGTTTTTTAACTGCCTAAGCTTTAAGCTACAGATTATACTTCTTTTGACTGCTAAGATTCTCTAAGGGTTTCTTCTTGCCAAATGCCTAATTAGGTTTCTCTCTGGATTAAAACAAACAAAAAAAGTATGGATTATGTGCTCTTCTTCACAGCTGGAAAACTGGTCTACTTTTAGTTCTACTTTGTGGGTGGAAAATTGGTGGCTTTGAGGGTCAGTTGTGTTTTGTTGGCTAGAACAACATTTTAAAGAAATTTAAACTTGAATGCCTTTAGGAAGCATACATTCCCAGTTCACTATGGCTCTTGACTCTCCCAAGTATTTAATATCAAGCCACAAAATGTATGTGAATTGGAATCACTGCCTCAAAGAGAATGTTAAAACAGACCCTTTTTCATAGGAGATGGGTCTGGGATTTAGGATCAACTACCACTTGGAAAGTATTGAGCCCTAACCTAGATCTCAGAAAATACTTATGTTCCAAATGGCTGAGAGAAGGGGAATGAAAATAAGCACTGGTTGCCTAAGAGGTAGACTGTTTAAAGTTTTAGATATTTATGGTAGAAACTAGCCACCATGGGTACATTCAAAGTAACAGCAAAAATGTGTTCAACAAATGGCAAAGTCATAACAAGCAGGTAAGCTCAACTAAAACATATTATATATAAATGTAAAGACAAAAAAAAAAAATCCAAAAAAAGGTTAATAGTGACTACCTCAGGGTAGTGGTATTACAAAAGATTTTCATACTACTCTTTGCACCGTTCTGCATTTCTATATTCTCAACAATAATCACATATTAATTTAATAAACTAAAAGAAAAAATAGAAAATGATTTTAGAATAACTTCATCTCAAAAACTCAAATTACTCTATGAACTTAAATTACTTAAATTAACTTTGCTGGGGCGCTTGGGTGGCTCAGTTGGTTGAGCATCTGCCTTCGGCTCAGGTCATTGTCCTGGGATCAAGCCCTGCGCGAGGCTCCCTGCTCCGCGGGAAGCCTGCTACTCCCACTCCTCTCTGCTTGTGCTCTCTCTCGCTATCTCTGTCACTATCTCTCTCTCTCAAATAAATAAGTAAAATCTTTAAAAAAAATTATCTCTGCTAAAAAGTAGAGACATATATGCTTATGTTGGCACAGAACAGTCAGGCATGATAATAAAAACAATGGCAATGACAGCTGCTTCTAAGAAGGAAATAGTTGACCTGGAAATTTGTTTTTCACTCTATATTCTTTTTGAATTTTGTAGCATGTACCTGTATTGTCTGTTAAAATTTAATACAAAACTACTTCTACAGTGAATTCTATTACCATCAATTTGCTCAGTGATTCCAAAGTCAACTGGGAAATAATAAAGTAATAGTCCAATTCAACAAACAGCAAAAAGGAGCACAGCAAGTTAATACCAGTTTGATCCCAAATTAGGAATGCATGTGTTTCACAGAAATAAAATGGTACAACTGAAAGAGCACTAAGAAAGCCTGCGTTCTAGGCACAGCTCTCACCAACAAGCAAATAAGCCTGAATGAGTACTTCAGATACTTGCGCCTCAGTTTCCTCCTACACAAAATTAAGACATAGACTTAGAACACTTCTAAGTCTATGTCCTAAACATCTAAACAGCAGTCTCAAAATTTCAGTCCTGCCAGCTAACTGCCAGAGGTTCACAGTTCTCCAGGGCTTGAGTAGATACCAGGTTCTAGGGCCTGTTCTCATTTCTTGCCTTTGTAAATTGGGGCGGGGGTGGGGGGAGCATTCACTTTCTCAATCTGATGTAAATAGATTAATGGTAAAACAAACAAACCAAAAAATAAACTCCTAAAAGTCTTTAGCTGAGGCATCAGCTTGCAGAGATAGGCATCTTCCAACAAGAAGGCTCACATTTTAATTACACAAAGGTGACCAAGGGTAACTTAGTATCAGAACCACAGCTTCAGTTGGTTCTCTGATGTCATCAAGCCCACATTCCTTATTTATAGGTAAGAAAACTGTGGTCAAGATAATTTGTTTATATTCCCACAGCTATGTATGGTCAAATTATCGTGAGAACCCATTTTCTAACTCCAAGATCAGTACTCCTCCCACCTAAATACGTAGCTTATTTCCATACAAGAAAATCGCATTAGCTATCCAATCTCTGTGCCTCAGTTTATACTTTTGATCCAAATATTACATTATAAGCAAACTAGAAAATGGCTTATTATAAACAAAATCTGAAAACATCACCACAAGCTCACTTACAGCACTCAACAGGTATGGAAGCTGTCTGCAGAGAAAGGACTTTTCCATTGGGCTGTGGGATGTGCACACGGAACACAAGTCGTACTCTAGTATTCTTTCTGCCAATATCAGTTTCTCCTTTTCGAAGTTCTATATCTGAATTGCGGAGTTTCAAAATACCTGCACAGTCAATACTAGGGAGAAAAATAAACAAAATTTATTTGCTTACTGATACTTGGTGGTCCTCAACAACTTAGCTCAACTTGGCAGGAAAGAACTATCACTACCTAAAATCAGGTCAAAAAAGAAAGATGTATAGAGTGCCTGAGTGGCTCAGCTGGTTAAGCATCTGACTCTTGATCTCAGCTCAGGGCTTGAACTCAGAATTGTGAGTTCAAGCCCCACATTGGGTGTAGAGCCCACTTTAAAAAAAAAAAAAAAAAAAGATGTATGACTGCTATTTTCTCCTATTTCAATTTTGAGATTAAAAATGTTTTCAATGACAATGTATAATGGTAGGCATGGTAGACTGTCTAAAAAGATGGCTGTTAATTCCTCCCCATTCTTGTATCTGCATACCACTTCTCCCATCAAGAGGTGGAGTACCTAGCTACCTCTCCTTGAAAGCTGGCCTTATGATTTGCTTTGACAAACAGAATGTAATCAATTGATACAGTGTAAGTTATGAGCCCAGCACTTAAGCCTCATAACTTCCACTTTTGCTCTCTTAGAGCCCTGAGCCACCATAAAGTCCAACTGGCAAGCTGGAGAGAAAGGCCAAGACAATCCTCAACTACTCTAGCCATCCCAGCCTCTTGGATGTTCGAAACCCAGCTGAGCTCCCAGATGAATTCAGGTGCATGAGTGATCCCAGGTGACACCACATGAATGGACCAGCTGAGTCCAGCCAACCCTAAGAATCATGAAAATAATGAACAGTTATTACTTTGAGCCACTAAATTTTAGAGTGGTTTGTTTTCCAGAACTAGGTAAGTGAAATACAAAGTAAAAAGACTGTTTAATTCTATATAACCAGGCCAGAAAAGATTAACTTGTAGGACTACAAATCAGTCATTAATAGCATTTTTAGACTTTTCTAGTGGTATGTTAATTAGTAAAAACAATCCATCAGACTAAGATTCTTTCATTTCTAAAGTATGCACATATAAAATTAAAGTTTTCGCATTTAAGTTCTAACATTTCATTATCTTCAAAATTTGTTACTTGTATGGCTGCTTGACACACAATCGGTAGGAAACAACAGTACCTAAAACATATGTTTGTATTCACATATGGAAAGAAAGCAAACGGATTTAATAATCAACATTCTAGTTAAAGTTTACTCTCTCTTGTGGTATTCCTTGTCATCTGTCCTTTTGCTTTATCTACCCCAACAGTCCCAACTCCAGTGCTCACTGCCCAGAGGCTGCAGCAGTTGTTGTGAGGACAATATGTGTTAAAGAACTAGGTTATCGGGCGCCTGGGTGGCTCAGTTGGTTAAGCGACTGCCTTCGGCTCAGGTCATGATCCTGGAGTCCCGGGATCGAGTCCCGCATTGGGCTCCCTGCTCAGCGGGGAGCCTGCTTCTCCCTCTGACCCTCCCCCCTCTCATGTGCTTTCTCTCATTCTCTCTCTCAAATAAATAAATAAAATCTTTAAAAAAAAAAAAAGAACTAGGTTATCAAGATAAGAACCAGTAAAGCACAAAAAAGAATCCCAAAAGGATGAATACTTTCATGTTCAGAAAGACACAGAAGAAATTTCCAAAAAAGGAAATACTTTTGAAAATAAATAGTTGCCATTTATGGATAACAAATTATATTTAACTAATACTGAACACCTGCACTTTAGCTCAACCAGTATTGATCAAATTGTATCAGGTAGTGATTATCCATCTTAGTATGTCAATAGGAGTCTTTAAGGGGAAAGAAATACCAGATTATCCATTTTATTGAGTTTTGAGGGAAGGTATTTTATATAAATATATGTATGTATTATTTTATTTTATATTTTTAAACTCTACCCCCATCACGGGGCTCAAACTCACAACCCTGAAATCAAGAGTCACATGCTCTACTGACCTGAGACACTTAGGTGACCCGAAGGAAGGTATTTTAGCAGAGTTAAGTTTCTAAGAGAAGATTTGGAATGAGTATCAGAAATGACAATCTCAAAACTTTGGCTACATGGGGCGCCTGGGTGGCTCAGTTGGTTAAGCATCTGCCTTCAGCTCAGGTCACGATCCCAGAGTCCTGGGATGGAGCCCCGCGTTGGGCTCTCTGCTCAGTGCGGAGCCTGCTTCTCCCTCTATTGCTCCCCCTGCTTGTGCCTGCTCTCGGTCTGTCAAATAAATAAAATCTTAAAAAAACAAACAATAAAAACCCGCAAAATATCTCTGGCTACAAAATCCAAGAAAAGACCAGACCAACAAAAAAACCACACATAAAGGAATAAAAATAACTATTAATTCGATTTACAAGTATGAATATATTTTATTTTTTTTAAGTTTTTTTTTTTTAAAGATTTTATTTACATATTTGACAGAGAGAGTGTACAAGCAGGGAGAGCGGCAGGGAGAGGGAGGCAATCCCAGGACCTTGGGACCATGACCCATTTGGAAGGCAGATGCTTAACCAACTGAGACACCCAGGCGCCCCTTCTAGTTGCTTCTTATTCAACCCTTTTTGGGACACACACAATGTTGCCACAAGCTTTCTTACAGAATTCCTGTCCCCAACAGGCCAGGGTGGACAGAATGGCCAGAGAAACTTCAGGTGTGTATCTGGCAGGGTGGGATGAGGGCACTATCTGCATGTAACTAGTAACAATGGTATTTCTGCAGCTTTGTCCTTTCTGATCTGATCCAGGCAGGCAATATATGCCATACCCTCTTGGGGAAGGGATATGAGTCATGACTACAGCCTGTTCCGTATACTAGTAGATGGGAAAAGGATAAGGTAGCTATGTTTAGCTGATTTTCTCACATTATTTGATATGTGAAGCTTTCCCAATTTCTTGAAAATTTTAGAAACTTATGTACTTTTTTATTGATTTATACATTTAGAAAGGATGAGGCATTTTATAACATAAATACAAATTAGGTCAAGAAAAAATAGAAAAAAACTTTAAATAGAAGGAACAGGAAATAATATATTCTAAATCTAGGGTTATACAAATTATTATAATTACTATAACTGAACTTGACTGTGAACTTCCAGAAGCCAAGGCAAAAAATAAATGTGATAAAAGTTTTTATATGTCTCTCCTTGTCTGGTACACCAAAATCTACCATGCCATCAGGAAATAATCAGCTTTTCCCCTTTAACTTGAAAAGATTCTGTGTGTATGTGTATGTGTAATAATGACCAACCTAAGAGCTAATATATCTAATGGTGTTTTTTCAGATTATGAAGTTATTCCTATGGGTATTTTTTATTTTTTTAAGATTTTATTTATTTATTTGACAGAGAGAGACAGCGAGAGAGGGAACACAAGCAGGGGGAACGGGAGAGGGAGAGGGAGAAGCAGGCCTCCTGGCTGAGCAAGGATCCCAATGCAGGGCTCAATCCCAGGACCCTGGGATCATGACCTGAGCCGAAGGCAGAGGCTTAATGACTGAGCCACCCAGGATATTTCTTATCCTATCCTTCAGACAAAGTTAAGAAGTGTAAGAAACTTATGGTGACTTTCTATTGAACTTGATTCAAGTTTAGTGCTTTGAATATCCCGAAGAATGAATGGAAACATGGCCTGCAAACTATCTTCTAGGGATCAATTTTATGAGTTCTTAGAAAAAGATGGTTCAACTGAGTTTTAAATTCACCTCTGCAGCTATTGTACTGTATATGCATATGCTTTTGATGCCAAATGAATCAAATATGCTTTTGATGCCTAAAGTAAAAGGGAAGAAGCCTACATGCACGCATTCTCATTCAGTGGCTGGCCACCTCACCTTATCTGAAAATGGGTCAAAAGGATGCCTGGAGGCAGAGAACTGGGTTGGGTTATTGAGTACCGTCCATGTAAACAAAATAGGTAAAAATAAGGTTTTATTTCAATTTTTATTAACTTGTCTTTTCTAGTAATAGGTAGGTAACAAGAAAAAAAATAAGTAACAAGATAAGTTCTTTCTTTTCTTCTTCCTTTTTTTTTAAATAAAGATTTTATTTATTTGAGAGAGAGAGAGTGAGCGCACAGGGAGGGGTAAAGGGAGAGGGAGAGGGACAAGCAGACTCCTCACTGAGCGCAATGCACCGAAAATCAAGAGTCAGATGCTTCACCAACTGAGCCACCCAGGTGCCCCAAGTTATTTCTTAAGACAATTTTTTTTTTTTAAGATTTTCTTTATTTATTCATGAGAGTAGAGAGAGAGAGGGAGGCAGAGGCGGAGGGAGAAGCAGGCTCCCCATGGAGCAGGGAGCCCAATGTGGGACTCGATCCCAGGACCCTGGGATCATGACCTGAGCTGAAGGCAGATGCTTAGACTGAGCTACCCAGGCACGTGGCAGTTCTTCTTTTATAATAATAGAATTATATCACAAATTGGTTTTCCTTAAGGGGTATATTCAGCTTACCCAAAAAGTTATTTAAGTATAAATTTAAAGGAAGAAAGCTAGAGACCAAAATCTTATTTTATAATCTGTTCTTGTAATAGCCTGGGACGGATGTTACTGCCATTTTAAGAAAGGTCTATACTGTAGTTTGAAACAATCTATGTAACAAACCTCACTGTAAGTTTCAAATACCTAGTTGTGACAAATTAAAAGTTGCCTACTAAATTTCCTTTTCCCCCTTTTTTCTTAGTAATACGTCCCTATATCATTAGAGGTAGCAATGTACCCAGGTAAAAACAAAACAAAAAAATCCCAGATGTTCCTTATATACAAGGATGAACAATGAGATGTGTTGGGTAGGTTTCTGTAACAAGCTCTTTTTCTTTTTTTTAAAGGATTTATTTATTTATTTGAGAGCGAGCGAGCACATGAATGCACAAGCAGGTGGAGCAGAAGGCGAGAGAGAAGCACGGCCCCCGCCAAGCAGGGAGCCCGACACAGGGAGCCCAACACAGGGAGCCCAACGCAGGGCTCGATCCCAGAACCCTGGGATCATTATCTGAGCAGAAGGCAGGCACTTAACCATCTGAGCCACCCAGGTGCCCCTGTAACAAGCTCTTTATTTATTTATTTTTTTTAAAAAGATTTTATTTATTTATTTGCGAGAGAGAGAATGAGAGACAGAGAGCACGAGAGGGAGGAGGGTCAGAGGGAGAAGCAGACTCCCCGCTGAGCAGGGAGCCCGATGCGGGACTTGATCCCGGGACTCCAGGATCATGACCTGAGCCAAAGGCAGTCGCTTAACCGACTGAGCCACCCAGGTACCCTAACAAGCTCTTTAAAGAGGCTAATTCAGGGGGCGCCTGGCTGGCTCAGATGGTAGAGCATGTAACTCTTATCTCAGGGTTGTGACTTCAAGCCCCACATAGGGCAAAGAGCTTACTTAAAAATATATATAAATAACATAACACAACACAACATAACATAAAAAAGAGGCTAACTCAGATGGAAGTTTTCATTTACCCTTCCTCCTTATTCCTTCTGGGACTACAGTTGTGATGGCTAGAGCTCCAGCAGCCATTTTGTATCTTGGGAACAGAAGTCACATGTTAAAATAGCAGAGAAGAAAAAACAGAAAGAGTTTGGACCACCAATGACTTATGGAGCCACTGTGCTAGTCCTAAAATGCCTATCTGTGTATTTCTCTTATGGAATAACAAACTAAATGTCTAATGTTTAGGCCACTGCATTTTCTAACATACAATCTAACATATAATAAACTGCAATATAATCCTAACTTGAACAAAAGTCTAAAGCATTCTCATTTAGAAGCTAGCTACCTCATTTTGTTTGGAAATGAGTCAAACAGGATACCTGGAGATAGAGTTAAAGTTTTCCTTGAGGAAATTTAATAATTATAATAACTGCACTGCAATTATTATTGTCTATCCTATTAGACTGTGAGCAACTTGAAAAAGTCCATATATTTTTTTCTCTATCATTTAACATAATGCTTGGCTGGTACTACATGGTTCATAAACTTTTGGTGAATTGAATTTCTTTTCTGGAAATTCACTACCAACCCTAGCAAATATACTATGATTATTTACATAATGTTATTCAGTTAATTTAGAACAATGAATACTTCATTTCTGTACTATAAAAAGAAATATGTTTTTTCTGAAAGTTGTTTTAGGAAAAAAAAAAAACCTGTCCATTTTGAGGTATGTTTCAAGATACCTGGCTGACATATTGTTTTCAGGAAGAAGGGGAATTTCCAGAACCTTTGTGCTGGCAATTATTATCTCTTGACTTGCAGTAGCAACAGTCTTCCCAGTGATTCGATGCACCTGGTAAAATGCATGAGGTCGTAAATATCGATCATCTGCCGTTCCAATAAACATCTGTAGATTTATCGGCTTTTCACTATAGCCCAGGAGCTAATTAGGAAGAACAAATGGAAAAATACAGTTCATTATCCATGTATTTACAATAAGCTTACAATAGTCTGTTATATTTGTAACATATTATTGATACACAAAATGTTATTTCAAAAAGATAACAATAAGAAAAAGTAGTAAGTGAACTAATCTTCCAAATTTCAGAAGTTTATGAGTTATAAAAGGCTGGAATATGTTACAAAGGGATGAGGGGGTTTTTTTCTGTATAAATATCTAGAACAATAAATATTCTGCAAAAGCCTTCTTATAGAATGCTGTGAAGAACCAAAAGGAATGCTGATTCTGTACACCAGGCAACATTAATCATCCAGACCAGACTTAAAAGACTTTGGTGTATAGGAAGCTCCTCTAATAGGCTGTTAAAATAAGAGACAGTTTGTTTTAGTAGAAAGAATCTCAAAAAGCCTATTACATATGTTACCAACTTAAAGTTTCAACTGACTTAGCAGGTTGGGCTTTCTCTGGTATCCTTCACTATTGTTGAGGTTAGGATGACTATCCAGGGGGAGGACCAGGAAGGGCTGGAGGTAAAAACGGCGACCATAAAAAAGGAGGAAAATAAAAGAAACAGAGCCTAGGGGCGCTTGGGTGGCTCAGTTGGTTGAGTGACTGCCTTCGGCTCAGGTCATGATCCTGGAGTCCCAGGATGGAGTCCCACATCGGGCTCCCTGCTCAGCAGGGAATCTGCTTTTCCCTCTGACCCTCCCCCTTCTCATGTTTTCTCTCTCTCAAATAAATAAATAAAATCTTGAAAGAAAAAGAAACGAAACAGAGCCTAAAGAAGTATACATTTAGGACTTAGGGAGACTCCCCTATCCAATCTGATGGCTGAGTAGCACCAATCTGACCCATCATCATGCACATAACAATTAAAACTTGAACAAACATAAAGAATGATTTGAAAGCATGGAGGGTAACCAAAGTAAGCATATTCTGGAAGCAAACTGACACATGTAAGAAGAGAGTCACAAAAAGTGTGTTTCCTGTTTTTAAGACTTTTAACTGGAGAGAAGGCCACAGTCCATGCCTTACAAAGTGGCGGAAACTCCTATAAAAAATCTATAGTCTGGGGTGCCTGGGTGGCTCAGTCGGTTAAGCATCTGTCTTCAGCTCAGGTCAAGATCTCAGGGTCCTGGGACAGAGCTGAGCGTTGAGCTCCTTGCTCAGCGGGGAGTCTGCCTCTCTCTCTGCTCACCTCCCCTACCCCCTGCTCATGTTCTCCTTCTGTCTCAAATAAAATAAAATCTTTAAAAAAGAAAATCTACAGTCTGAGGGCCTGAGGAACTAAGGACAGAGTACAGAACAACCACAGCTTCTGGAGAGTAAGAGGGAAATCCCAGAAAGAAGACAGCCAGAGAAGGGGAGCTCCAAATTATACAGACAAACTTTGCCCAATCTTTTGATTGACGTGGGAACCACCCATGAACAGGTCAGATCCCGAGGAGTGTAAAGCTAACATAAATGAAATGAGATTATGAGCTGCCACCAACCAGCAGAGACAGGTTTTCCAGGTTGACTCCAACCAAGTGACTGCTTAAACAAAAAAAACCAAAATTCAGCATTCTTTGGGGGTGCATTTGGGTGTGTATGTGTTTTGAGGTTTCTGAGTTGGGGGTTCTTTATATAATCTGAATTAATCCCTTACAGATATATGATTTGCAAATAATTCTCATTCTGTAGGTTTTTTCACTTTCTTAGTAGTGTCCTTTGATGCACAAAAGTTTCTGATTTTGATGGAGTCCAATTTATCTGTTTTGTCTTTTGCTGCCTGTACTTTTGGTGCCATACTTGAGAAACCAATTCTAAATCCAATGTCGAAGACGTCCCCCAGTGCTTTCTTCTAAGAGTTTTATAGCTTTAGATCTCACACTTAGGTCCTTGATCTATTTTGAGTTTATTTTTGAAGATTTTATTTATTTATATGAGAGAGAGAGAATGAGAGCGAGCACATGAGAGGGGGGAGGGGCAGAGGGAGAAGCAGACTCCCCGCCGAGCAGGGAGCCCGATGCGGGACTCGATCCCGGGACTCCAGGATCATGACCTGAGCCGAAGGCAGTCGCCCAACCAACTGAGCCACCCAGGCGCTCCTTGAGTTTATTTTTGTATATGATGTAAGGGTCCAACTACATTATTTTGCATGTAGATATCCCGTTTCCCCAGTACCATTTGTTGAAAAGATTGTCCCTTCCCCCACTGAATAGTCTTGGCACCCTACAGAAAATGAATTGACCATATATGTAAGGGCTTATTTTTGGGCTTTCTATTCTATTTCATCAGTGTGCTTTTATGCCAGTGCCACAGTGTTTTAAATACTGTAGCTTTGTAGTAAGTTACAACTCAGGAAGAGTAAGTCCTCCAAGTCTTTTTCAGGACTGTTTTGCTTATTTGAGGCCTCTTGCAATTGCATATGAATCTGAAAATATGTTTTTCCATTCAGCAAAAAAGGCTGTTGGAATTTTGGTAGGTATAGCACTGCATCTATAGATTGCTTTGAGGAGTACTGATAACTTACTAATGTTAAGTCCTCCTATCTACAAACATGGATATCTATTTTTATTTTACATATACTTAAATTTTATTTATTTTTATTGTATGTTTCCATCTATTTCTTTCAGCAATACTTTATAGTTTTCGGCATAACAAATTTTGACACCTCCTTGGTTCAATTTAATTCCTTTAGATGCTACTGTAAATGGAATCGCTTATTTTTTATTTTTTTTTTAATTTTTATTTTTTTTAAAGATTTTATTTATTTGACAGAGAGAGACACAGCGAGAGAGGGAACACAAGCAGGGGGAGCGGGAGAGGGAGAAGCAGGCTTCCTGCGGAGCAGGGAGCCCGATGCGGGGCTCGATCCCAGGACCCCAGGATCACGACCTGAGCCGAAGGCAGACGCCTAACGACTGAGCCACCCAGGCGCCCCTGGAATCGCTTTTTAAATTTCCTCTTCAGGTTGCTCATCACTAGTACATAGAAACACAAATGTTGAGTGTATATTGATCTTCCACCTGGAAATGTTGTATTTGTTTATTAGCTCTGTAGCTTTCCTATGGATGATTTGTGATTTTCTATATACAGGAACATGTCGTCTATGAATAGAGACAGTTTTACCTCTTCCTTTCCAATTCAAATGCCTTCTATTTCTTTCATTGTCTAATAGTTCTGGCTAGAAGTCCCAGCACAAATGGTGAATAGCACTGGTGAAAGTGAGCATCCTTGTTCCTAATCTTAAGGAGAAAGCTTTCAGTCTTTTACCATTAATTAAAAATGATGTTAGCTGTAGGCTTTTCATAAATAATCTTTCATGGTAAGGCATTTTCCCCTCTTTCCCTCTGTGTGTGTGTGTGTGTGTGTAAATGAAAGGCTATTAAATTTTGTCAAATGCTTTTTCTGTGTCAACTGAAACGACTGTGTAGTTTTTATCTCTTCTATTAAATGTGGTGTATTACATCAATCGATTTTCCTATGTTGGGCCACCTTTTTCATTTTTCAGATAAATTCTACTTGGTGATGCTGTATGATCTTTTCACACTGCTGCTGGTTATGGTTTGTTAGTTTTTAGTTGAGAATTTTTGTGTTTATATTAGAAATGTAAATATAAATACTGTATCTTTGTCCTTATCTTTTCAATTAAAAAATTTTTCATGTTTCTACTGAAATCCCTTCATCTCTTCACATATATAGCTTACTTCTTTACTACTAGACAGTTCAGCATTTTATCATAGTTATTATTAAAGACTCTTTCTGATAACTCCAACACAGATGAAGAAATAGATCTAGACCATCTCTGGGCCTGCTTTTACTGACTGTTTTTCTTTTTATTGTGGGTTACACTTTCTTTTGTGTGTGTGTATTGCTGAACATATACTGAACATTTTATATTCAAGGGGTTTAGAGACTCAAGTAGGAAAGTATTTACCTCCAGAAAGAGGCATGCTATTTCTTTTGTCATGTAACAAATTCTTAAGCTATGTCTGGGCTTTGGTGCAGCTTTAGTCTGATTCCTCTGCTTGGAGATAGTGGTTTCCTCACACTTGGTGGTCTTACAAGTTTCAGAGAGATGTCTTTCAGTAATCTCCACTCCTACTTTTAGCCACCAACTGGGAGAAAGATTTGTTCCATGGCTGCTTTAGTCCATTAAACCAGCAAGGGAGAGACATGATAATGTAGGTGGCATAAAGTCTATTTTTCAGTATACACAGCAGAGGAGGTGTCCAGCTCTTCAAGGCAGCAGTGAAGTTTCTGGCACTCAGTCCCTAGCACTGACAGAACAAGTTATGGTCATGAGTCACAGTGTCAGTGATGTTTTCACTATAGCAGTACTGGGTTGGATGGCTGGACAATGTTCCAGACCATATAGCTTCCAAGCAAGAGATTTTATAATAACCTTTAAAAAAATTCTCTTCTGTTTCTGTACTATGGTTTATAAATTATCCTGATATGTGACATCAAATATAAAGTGCCTAGTACAGTGCTGTCATGTAGGTAGTGATAAAAAAATATTAGCTATTAGTCTATTTCCATGATTCTAGGTATATAATGTAGTCAGAGTTCAAATGTTAGAAGGAGTTTTAGTCTACTATGAGGTCTTTCAGGTGAACACTTTACTCCCCCCTCCTTGCCCATGCCTGGATCTACAGTGGAGTTTGTAACCAAGCAACATCATAATTGATTATCCTCTACCCATGAAAGGACATGAAGATTTCTGCCTATTATTGGGTAATATAATTTACCTAGGATGGTTTTCAGGACTGTAACATTTATAGAGAAGCGATTAAACCTGGACCACTGCAATACCCTTATAACTATTCTCCCTGTTCTTGCTCTTGTTCTTTTACAGGCTATTTGCTGTCCAGGAGCCAGAACAAACTTTAACTAGATAGTTTCATTCCCTGCTCAGAACTCTCTAATGGCTTCCTTCCAACACTCAACTAAATCCAAATGCCCTGTGGTGATTTATAAGGCCTATGTGATTTGAG